GTGATTTCTCCATCAAGAAGTGCTTAGAAACTTCCGGTGATGGATTTTTCTTGTGTTTTAATACCAGTTTACCAGCAAAATGAAAGAGAAGCCCTTAATGCTGTTTACATTACCGATAAATATTTTTAAAGCGTTTGAACAAATTAAGAAATGTCCGGAGTGGAAAAGCTAATTTATTTTGCAGAGAGATGCTATCTCGAGAAAAAGAAGGTCTAGCAGTTGCTGCTTATAAAGATGACGAACTTGTGGTCGACCTCTGGGGTGGATATGCCGAAAAGTAATTTATTTTTACTGATGAGACACGACTAAATATGTGTTTGTAACAATTTAGCCGAGAAAAATATTTTAGTCATATTTGCTAGACTACTTCTTCTGGCAAAATAACTATTGTAAAATTTTCGAGCACGTTATTGGCGGATTTTTTGACTTTTAGCAAAGTGTTTTGAAATATTTTGCAGGAGAAATCTAGAAAGACAAAACTGTGATCTGTTTCTTGAATTTAATTCTTAAGAAAAGCAAATGCGTTTTTGTAGTCATCGCAGTACTGGTATTAATAATACTTGCTAGCTAGAACGCTAATAAATTCTACCGTTACCTTTAAAAAAAAAGCCTTCAAAGTAGGTTAGCCAGAAGCAGCGAAAGGTATCCAGCAAGATGCTAGCATATCTTTGTTTGTAGCTGCTTGCTGCTTTCTGTGTTTCAGTTTTTCTTCCGAGTTAATTTCTCCGAAGAAACCTGAAAACCAAAATTTCTGAACTGACGTTAGAAGAAAGGACTGTGAGAGAACAGCTTCTGGAGTATGAGATTTTAAAGCATTTTTGCAAACATCGAAGCTATCAATGCATCGTAATACGCGATTTCAAAAAAAAAACCTTTTCAAGGCAGCATTTTAGAAAGTAATTTTTGGTCACTAGGAGACAAAATATTGTAATATTATAATAATCGGGCACATACATCAGGCAGTTGGTGTTTACTTTCACTGAAGGTCTGTGGCGCAGGAACCGAGGGTTTGGCATAGCTGTTTCAGGCGTATGAGAACATCCCAGTAATATCACTGACATGGAATAACCAGACTTACTACCCGAGCAGGCTTTTTATAACTAGTCCAGCTCTGATAGTCCGGGTGCGAACTTAGCATTCCTGGCGTATAATAATGAGCCAAAAATGAAATTATCACCAGCATAGCGCAGAGCTGCGTTTCGAGCGTGGAGCCGCGATACGATGACTGTTGTTTTCTCGTCAACAAAAGCGATTGGTGCACTGATCATTGCGATTTTGGTAAGCCGTGGGCATCTGCACTATGAAGATAAGGTTCGTTTCAGTTTTGCAAAAGAAAAGCGCTCCAGATTCTGTGCTTTTTTGTAAGTAATAATCTCCAGCTGGTGTTATATTTCTTGCTAACGTATAACCATACAACAAACTGAGCGTGCATGCAAATTTTTTGCTTCTCCGAATCTGCTTCCACCAATGCCAACATTCGCAGAATATCGTTTTCGAAAATTGTCTAAGCGGCTTTCTGCTTTCCAGTCGGATATTATCTGTTGGTACAAAAAATACCCATCGGCCGTCATCAAAATGAGTGTAGCAGGGTATCGAGTTCACAGTAGAATCCAAGGTCTTCTGTCTATACAGCTAGCAACTTTTTCAGCTGCTTTGACCAGTGCTAATTCACTTAGTGGTCAGTAGACTTCAGTTTTCTCTTCTGAAAAAATTGTCGGCTCAGCGGTGCCCTTGACAGAAGCATTTGACAAGTCCTAGCGATTTTAAATTATCAATGATGTGTGTTACGTATCAGCAGCTTTTTCTATTTGTTTTTTTTTATCACTAATAAGTATTTACAGGTTGTAAAGTACTGGCCAGAGTTTGGAGCTCATCATAAAGAAAACACTACAGTACAATGGATTGTTGAACACAAGGTAAACTCTATGTCGTATACCTTTGCCTTCATTTTGTTTAGCAGTCAGTAATGTTGGCGCCCCACAAATGAAAATTCCTATAACAATAAGAAAAAACGATTGAAATCCAGCAAAGAAAGATTTCAGAAGCGAGAACTGATGCTTGTTTCAATTCGTTTTGTTACTGTGATTAGCTGCGCAAAAAAAAATTACTGCTTTTTGTATAACGGTTATTATTTTTAGGCTGGATTAATAAGCTTTGATGGTGAACTGAGCATTGAACAAGCTCGCGATCATCAGTACGTATCGCGACTTATCGAAAATGTTTGTTTTTTTTTCGAAAAAACTTTTAAGCCGAGTGAAGTTTCAAAAAAACTCTCAAGAATCATAAAAATTAATGTTTCCTCAAAGTCAGGATTTACTTTGGTGTCGAATCCAACGACGTAGTGTTGAACACAATTAGAAATTTTCAGGAGAATCAAACTTACTAAAATATTTTCTTTTTATTGGGTATTTTAATAGTAAGAATTACAACTACTGAAATCGATAACTACCCACAATGCTAGTAATTTAGGAAAACCCAGGCTGGAACGCACCAGGCCAGCCGGTGCGATCATGCGTTTTTGCATCAAACTTTGAGGT